GGGGAATTCTGGGAGTTGAAGCCCACACACCTTAAAGTTGCCAAGGTTGAGAAACACTGCTCTGCAGGCATTTCCTACTCAATGACCCCTTGACTTATCTCCCTTAAGTCTTTAAGAATCAAAGACTGAGTTTGCATAATAGGTTTAACTTGGTTACTGGATTAAAGCCATTTTCCAGGTTTGCTCAGTCCATTAAATCACAAACTAACCAAGCAGACTGCGTTCACACAAAATGCTAAACTAAAAACAAACTAACCCCAAAACCGTTTAAAAAGAATAAATCCCAAGCTTAAAATTAACTAAACTTGCCATGTCCTATATGGACAGCCATTAGACTTTCAAGTGACCTGATTGTGTAGTATGAACACAGCCAAAATGTGTTCCTCCCTTTGTTCTATGTGTATTTGAAGGTGATGGAGGAGATCAGCTCCCAGACAAAAAATATTGATGCCCTAAAGAAAGCCATCCTGGATAAGGAGGGGCCAGCCAAGGTGGCCCAAACTCGCCTGGAGACCCGGACTCATCGTCCAAATGTAGAGCTTTGCCGAGATGTGGTGCAGTATCGACTCATGCGGGAAGTGCAGGAAATCAACCATAATGTTCAGAGGCAAGTACAGCACAGAAACCACAGAGCTTGGTCCAATCCTGGGTTATCCCTGGGAATTAGTAACTTTCTGGGGTGAGGGTGGAGTGGGAAGCAGCGTGAGATCCCTGTTCTGCAAAAACTTTATGTTGGGTGGGTCACTGCATTTCACTTTGTGATCCTTTGGTTAGCCCATCTATTGCCTTAATTCTAGACCAAATTCTCCCTCTTCTGGTCAAGGATTTCAGTGGATTTGTGGAGAGATTTCTCTCCAGTGGAAATAAAGGTGGGGCTGTTTCATGGGGGCAGATCAGAGCACTTGGTGCTCTTCTATGGACAAAGAATTTAAGCAGAGGAGTCTTGATCCTAAGGCATCAATATGACCTAGTCTGGGAAAGCAAAGCATTCTGAGCCCTGGGAGTTAAGGAATGAGTTTTCTCCTTCAGCTTCTAGTTCTGGCTCTAAAGGGAAACTTAAGATACACACGCAATGCTACAAGGAATCCCAGCAATTCCAATGAGACCAGTTGAGACTGAGCAGGTGCTTCTAGCAGCTGAGTTGGGAGACATTTGCCTGTCTTTCTGGCAAGCAGGAATACATTATGCACAAGAGCAGACTGGTTACCCTTTACTGTAAAGTTCTGTTCATGCTACAAGCGTAGCGATATTGGGTAAAGACTTAGCAGATGCATTTGTACAATAGGCTAAGCTTGAGTAATACTAACCTTAGATATTTGTGGCTTGGCCTGTTGTACAAACTTAGTCTATGGATCAGTTTATCATTCAGTGTATTGCTTGTACCCAGAAAATGGATCCATTTGGTAGCCAGAGGAAGCATGCTGTGTAAATACAATCATTTACTGGGTTTCACAATGCCAGGCTAAAATGTGGTTGGCTAGTTTGTAGCTCATGACTACATTCATGCAATGTGCTTAATTCAGTTACTCAATTAACCATTTTCTGGGCTTGCACAATATATTGAACCATAACCTAATTGAACACTAAAACCATACTAAATGGCAAATTAATTAGGGCTTGTACATATATATGCAGCTGCTAGGTATCTAACAGACCTCGCTAAACACAGCAACCAAGACAGCTGGCTTAGTTCTGTAAACAATGGTTAAATAAACCATGGATTAACATATTAACTTTGCAACAGAGAAGCAGTGCCACCTTGCCCCCAAATCTCCCCAAAGTGTGGATTTCCAGCAATTTCTCCCTGGTAGAGTTAATTGTTTAGGCTGGTACTGATGGGAGTAGGTGGTCCTGAAGGCACAGCACCTGAGCAAGACATAAAAGATGCAGGCTGCTGCATTTTGGACCAAATGTAGTTTCTGAATACTCTTTAAGGGCAGCCCCCAGTAGACTGCATTACAGTAATCCAACTGAGTGGTGTTAATGCATGATTTACTGTAGCCAGGTCTCCATGGCTTCCACCTGCTGATTCAGCAGGAGCTAAGTCTAGAAACACCCCTAAGTTGTGAACCTGTTCCCTGACAGATTGTGCCTGCCCATCAAAGAGGAACTTGGTGGCAACAGGGGACCCTGATGTATCAACAGCAACTCCAACTTGCCAGGGTTCAACTTCAGTCTGTTCTCTCCCATCCAGACCCTGACAGCTTTCAAACACCAGGAAAGAGTATCTTCCCCCCAACCCCACAGCTCAGAGTGGCAGTGTACAATTGGGTACCCTAAACCATTGGATGACCTCTCCCAGTAGCTTCATAAAGATGTTAAAAAGCAGGGGGGATAGGACCGGCTCCTGTAGCACTTCACAAGTCAGAAGCCACTAGGCCATCCTCTCTTCCCTTACAACAGATTGGAACCATCCACTAAGGAAGGAGTGGAACCATAGTGAAATAACACTTTCTATCCCCTACACATGCAGGTGGTCCAAAAGCATACCATGGTTGATGGTATCATAACCCACCAAGAGGCCTATTAAGACCGGGAGGGGTGCATTTACCCCATCCAAGTCACAACATAGGTTATCCAAGAGAATGACTAATGCCATATCTTGGCCTGAACCCTGACTGGAAAGGGTCCAGATAATCTGCTTCCTCTAGGGTGCTGTGAAGTTGATCCATCACCAATTCTGTTTTTAGGGAAGGTTGTTGTCAGGTGGCAGAACACAAATGAGATAGCACCTATCTACTTCCTTGGAGGTTGCAGACCAAAAGGAGTCCCAGGTAACAGGGCAAGGCAAACTACGAAAGACTTAGTCCCTGTAGAATCAAGGCTACAGGAAATCCAAGGAGCATGTTCTCTGCAGGGAGATAATTAAGTGCCAACAAGACAAAGTATGATTGGGACTAAACCTGCTTTCCTTTCTGAAGATTTTGGACACCCATCTCTCATGACATACTAAAGTGTGAGCAGGGCCAGACCAGAGCTAATTACAATCAGAAGATTGTCTTGATTTGTTTGACTGAAAGCCCTAGAGAAGCTTGCCAAGCTCTAGAAGGCTGTGGCCTTCACCTTCTTTTTCTTCTGTTCCTTCCTTAGGCTGAATGACACATTAGCTCAGGCTGAAGCAGAACTGAAAGGCCTTAACCGCCGGCAGCTCTCCCTGGAGGAAGAGATTGAAGTCAAAGCAAACACCCTTTATATTGATGAAGTGCTCTGCATGCAGATGAGAGAGTCCATTTCCATCAATAACTTCTGATCCCACGATGCTGGCAGAATCTCTGCTTGGCTGGATCCCACAAATAGATCTTGGAATAGTAGTTTGAACTTTCAAAAATCTTTTATGGAAGCCAAACATCTGCCCTGAACTTTCTACCAGATAATAAATTGGTGAAACTTCAGAACCCAACTTCATCATAAGCTCTCTGGGGCTTAGTAAATGCTTGACAGGTCCCTGGGACAGAGGACTAGAGTGAAAGTGATGGCTGGAAAGAATACAAGTAGGACTTGAACTAGTGTCTTTAGTGCATAAATAGTTTAAACATTTAAGGGGAGAGCTTATTCACCATACTGCTTTCTCAGGATTTGTAAAAATAAATTACCTGTTTTCTGTCCTTTTCAGGCAGAAAACAGACTTAAATTGTTTATTTAATCTTTATAGAATAACCTAAATGGGGATGAGGGGGAGGCTAGAATCATCCACCCAAAACTCCTGGCCCCTAATTGACAGCTCCATCCAGTTCACACAATCGCTTATCCACTGTGCTGTAAGATCAAAAGTGGTCCTGATACCAGGGACATCCACAGGGGGTGGGGGTGGTCATAAAAATCAAGTTGGTGGCTTTAACCATATGATCACAGCTGCCATCTTGACTTTGTCTCCCCCTCCTCCCCCTCACAGACTCCCCTGCATAATTCTGTTTAATGTTGCTTGACTCCTAATTCTTGGACTAATTTTTAAAACGTGGATATTGTGTAGGCAATGACTCCCATAACTTATAAATGCTTTAAATTCTGTGTTCCACCAAACTCATATTTTCTTCTTTGGGACAGCCAAGTCTCTCCTCAAAGACCAACACACTTTTCTTTCTTCCTTGAGAAGAGAAATGCAAGAACCTTTTCTTGCAGGGTTTTGTCCCGTGACCTGCAGTGCTTCTGGTCCAGCAAATGTTGTGTGTGCCATTCAGCCCAGCCAAATCTCATTGATTCTTTTGCATTCCAAAGACTCTTTGTTGTAAACTTGCAAGTGGGTGCTTGGGCTCAGTCTTGGTTGCGAACTGTAGCTCTTTTATTCTTAAAAAGGCAGATCAGGGTATTACAAAGCACTTTTCTGAACCCGATCATGCTGGAACGAAAAGGGCCAGTTCAGCCACTGAGAAATGTCATTGCCAGCTACTTCCTTCAGGTGAGCCTTGCATCGATTCTTCTGCAATACAAAGCAGGGAAAGGGAAAAATACTTTGGAACAGGGCAACAGGGAACAATAGCTTTGGCGTAGGTGAGGAGGGGGGAATGTCAGGGGAAGGGAATCATCTCCTCCCTGGCTCTTAGGAGAAAAATAAACAAACACCCATGCACAAAACATATTCTAAATGCATGCAGATTAAAGATCTTAACCTCTGGGCCTTATGTGTTTGTTTAGGACCAGTGCTTGGGGTGGATGGTACCCCTGCAGCCTGCCCATTTGTTCATGTTTGCTGGCACAGGGTACCCTCCTGTCATCTGGCACAACTGGAGCCTCCAGTGGAGGTATTGCGTATCAGGAGCTTGGTTAAGTATAAGTTCCATACTGTCACCACCATGGGGCCATTTTCAACAGAGAGCGACCACAGGGTGGCCCATGTGCCTCTAGAAACTGCTGAATGAAACAGATGCTCCACCCCTCAGTCTTCAGGCAGCTGCATCCATTGCTAAACAGTCTTGCTTTATTTGGAAGGAGACAAAGCTGTCTCAGTAGGAGAACAAGGGGATCTGGAGAGGCACGGAAGGAAGACAACTGTTGGAGGCCTGGCAGTGGAAGTCAATGCAGCTACCACTTTTTGAATTTCTAGTTGCTTGGTTGGTCTTGCCTGGGCGATACCAGGATTGTTCTTTTAACTTAGCTTTTTTTTTTTCTTTTATTGGCCAGGCAATCAACCTTGATTGATAGGACTTCTCTGGTCTAAAGGCCGTAATAAATGTTTTGATTTTGACAGGACTAAACAAGGTTGGATCTGATTAGTTCTTAGATGGGAAACCACCAGGAAGTTCCAGTGTTTATGCTGGAGTGTGAAATTAAAAAACAAACAAACAAACCTGGCAAACACTTCTGTACTGCTGCCAGAAAAATAACCCTATGGACATATCCATGAAGTTACCAGGAGTCTATATTTTTTAAATTATTACTAGAAGCTGCTTTGTGGACTGTTGGAAGTGAAAGTGACAGTAAAAGGGGGGAAGTTGCTATCTAAAGTAACTCCAGTTGTAGTTCCAGTGGTGGCAGGACAGAAAAGCAGATGCTGTTATACCATTCTGAATCTCCAGCAGTGCAACACAGGGAGGGGGGCACTCTGAACAGCGCTTTTAGTGGCACAGTGCAGCCTCCTTGCACAGATGGAGACACTTTAAACATTTGTATGGTGCTCCCCATTAAAAAAAATGTTTAAATAATTACAGGGGAGGGAGAGAGGGAGGGCGCGAACCAGAAGTCATAATAGTACCTTTTTTTCCCAAGAATCGTGGACTCCGTCGAAGTGCTTGTAGGGAAGCTGCCCGCTGGCACTTTTTCTGAAATAGGAATGAAATCAGGAATTCATGCCTGGCCTCAGGATACTTCTGCTACTGCGGCCTCTTTTTTTAAAAATGTCCTTTTTAAAGGCATTGTAGAGAGACTCAGTTTCAAAAAGCTACTAAACTTGAATAACCTTTTTTGGTCAACGTTTCCCTTCCCCCCACCTGAAAGAAAGAGGATACCAGTTGCCTTGAGGGATCCTAAATAAGCCATGGCCATTTTCTAAATACAGAGATTAATAGCTTGCTATGACTAGGATTTCAGCCATTTAGTGGCACTGCTGGGGAGGTACACGTAGCTTCGCCAAGAGAAGCAGGTCCCACCATGACCCCTCCCTGCAGCTGCTTCAGAATCCCCCGTGTCCCAAATGGCTCCCGTATTGCTTGGCTGAAGCCACATTCCGATAGTCTTCACCTTCCTCACCTCGTGCTTCTGTAGGGTTGGGCTTGGAAGGAGGATGTTGCACTGGGAACATGTCACCAGCTGGTCATACGTATCACTGAGGGCCTGCGGCCCATTGGAGGTCAGGATGGAAGCAAAAGCCTGGCAGCTAGATGCCTTTTTACTTCTTGAAGGCTTCAGAGATACTTTCTCGATGGAAGGCAGCTCTCCGTCCTTCCTCTTGGGGCGGACATCTTTCTCAGCCTTCATCTTCCAAGGAGGAGAAGGAGGAGCTGGAGTTGGAAGGCTCCATGGAGATGGAGGAGAGCTTGATTTTGTGGGAGAATGGGTGGCGAGACCACCCAGGAGCTGTGAGAGTGAACTGCATTCATTCTGTGGGTGACATAAAAGGGATGCTGCAAAGAAGGCTTGGTAAATGTAGGTTAAGAAGCCATCATAAAAGTGGAAGAAATGACCCAGAAATTAATTGCCCCAAAATACAGAGACAAAGATAGTTTGTTCTCTGATAAAACCTTTTCCTCCTTTTCACCTAATAGTATTGTTGAGTGAGAAGGACCCCCCTTTCTCCCTGTCCACCCCACATTTCCAGAGTATAATTGCCCTTCACCCACAACAAAGGCCAAAGCTCAGCGGTCTGCATGCAGGCAGTCCTGGGTTCAAACTTCAGTACTCCAGTTAAAAGGATAAAAGGTGAAGGTAAGTTTTTTCCTCTGCCCCAAACTTTTTTCTCCAGGTATTTTTAAAGTTCTTTTACAGTCAGCTTGACTAAGCGCTTTCATTTAGGTTTATTTAAACTGTTGTCCGTTTTAGTGTTTTTCTGATTTTTAATGTTTTAGTAACTTGCAATCTCCCTATGAACTTTCAGTAATTGGATAGATTAGAAACATAATCAGACAATAATCACAGAGGAGGACATACTGGAGCTATGTTCTGACTGTGACTGCTTTTGGAAAACATATGTAACCTAGTTCTTGAATTTGTTTCTGGGTTCACATAATATATTGTGAACCATAAGCTGAATTTACTGAAAATGCTAAGCTACAGAAAATTGAATAAGGTTAAAGCCAATCAATCTTTCCACATCCTGCAAATGCAGCTGCTAGAGCTTTAACTGACCAGTTAACATGCAAACATAGCTGGTATTTTCATAAAATTGCCCTTCCTTCTTTTGCAATAAGATTATCACCACTTGGTTGGGTACAAAAGAGAAAAGCTATCTGAAAGTGTGGCTGGCGGCTCACGAGACAGATTGTCATCCCCACCAAGTTCTACTCCAACCATGATGCAAAAGAACAGACCAGGGAATTGGCTTGGATTAACCATGCAGGCCATTTGTGTGTCCACTGATCACCATCAAAATCTCTAGGTTTTTGGTCACCACTCACTTCCACCACTACAAGGCCAGTTTTAGATGGACAAAATTCTTACCAAGTGGTGTAGATATTGATCTGTTGGAAACCAATTGTTACACTGCTGGCATAAATTAGAACCTAAAGGTGAGAGGTAGAAGACAATAATCAGTCCCAACATTCTGGCCAAGGAGCTGCAAAAGAGATTTCAGACTGGTCTGCCCCCCTTCCAACAGCCTCAATACTACCAAGCCAACACCCAGGCACAGATTCAGTAAGGGAAGAGAATATGATCATTCATTCATTTTGTCCCTCTCTTAAGTTTCCTAGGATAAATTGGGAAATACTGGGGCTTGGAAATGGGTTGTGCAACCCCAGTTTTAGCAAAATCAACAGCATGTTCACAGAGAAGTTAAATTCCTGATCAACTATTACTTTCAGCTAGACACAAAGAAAGCACTAAAGTTAACAAAACACAATGTTGTATTCATACAAGTGAGTAACTAAATCAATCATATCAATGCTTTAACATGATCACACAACAGGCTATGGCAATGATTAATAGGGCACCTGCACTATAGCCAGTGAAATCAATCAACACAACTTGATTCCCAGAATTTTTTTTTTAAAAACTCCAAGTAGAGGAGGGCAAAAATTAAAAATGGTGCTAACTGGTTTGTTAATAGCTGGCAATTATTAGCAGAAAACAAGCTGGCTGGCCTGTTGTTCCCTCGTAAGCAAGGAACAAGATGTGCATTCATGGAGTCTGAGCATGCAAAGTGATGCCAGTATACAAGCCATGCTGTGCAGTAGTATCACAACACAGGAACGTAAAGGAAGGAGTTGTACAATGATGTCACTGATGGGTAGGGTTTGCTACACCTTGTCCTGCCTTGCTGCAGACACCCCTGGTGGCTAGGTTCCCACAACATTCTGAACTACAAGTTACTCTACCTTATTTTAGCCTTCCCTAAATTCTTATGATTTCCCCAATCCTCATTCTAGCTTCCAGTGAGGAATGTGCCATTCCTAGGGATCTTAGTTTTTATTCTGCCCCTTTCCAGTTGCTAAACTTCTAAGCAAAGAAGAGAGAATAGGCTTATTTATTTTATTGATTGATTACAGCATCTCTTTACTAGCCTAGGCAGTTCTACCTCTGAACTGTCAGAGCAAGCAGAGATCTGTGGCAGATGGAAAACATGGGTTCCTGTTGGCAGTTTGAATTCAGCAGGAACTCTTGTTAGAGGATGTGCTTGCAAACATAAGGAGAATGCTGAATGAATTCTAAGCAATGAAGTAGTGTGTCCCATTTTTTAAAAAAAGACTACGTTCATTATACGATTCTCTTGGATGCAGATTATGGGCTTAGTGCAGCTGTCAGCAAATGCTAACAGATGCTCATTATATCAAAAATAAAGCTAGATTCAGAAATACATGAGGATAGGAAAGCCTCACTTCTGTCTAAACTACATCTTGAAGAAAGGAACGCACAAGAGAGAAAGAGGGAGAGATGGGGAAGGGAAGGTCACTTTGGTCTTTCATTTAACTAACCATAGGCCAGGGGAAAAACAGGGTAGCAGGTAAACAGCCTTCCCCTTATCTATCTTTCCATTTGTCCTTGGAGCAAAACAGCTCCTACAGTAGGTGCAAAAAGATG